TTGGCCTGACCTAGAATAAAAGTACTGTGGAACCAAAGATTGTCTTATCCTTGAAGTCCGTATAAGCTCGCTCGAAGCAGATCGCCGTGTACCAGGAAATCGTGACGAGTTTCCGTTCTCGCTGCCAAGTCGTCTCTACAGAGTTATTTCTCCCAGTTGTTATTGTGCCGTCCGCGAAGAGTCAGTTTTCCAGTTTGGGCGCGAAAATTTATCGTCACATTTTTGTTGTTTTTGTTGTTGTTATATAGGCACTATGGCACGAAGGGTACCTGTGGCTGAAGACAACTTCCCGCTCCCAGGCACTGTGCCTGAACGTGATCTATATCTTCCGAACCGTGAACTTCAAAGTGGCCTTGAACTCAAGAGAATGATACCGTTCGAGCCAAAGGAATCACGTACTTCCTCTCACGACGAAGCCGACAACAAAAAGTTACCATCGAATTATGAAATATGGTCTGATTTTGTGAATAATACTTCGCTGCATGGAATTCGCTATGTCTTCTGGAAACGCCCTCTATGGGCTCGGGTTGGTTGGTTGCTTATTCTTTTAATGTTCTCTTCATATTTCTGTTTCACTGTGTACAAGTCACTGCAGAAATACGTCAAACACCCAATTAACACCGTCATTACTCAGAGATACGTGAATGCAATGGATTTCCCAGCTGTCTCAATTTGTCCCCTCAATTCTGTCAGTAAAAAAAAGATATACGCCTTAGATGTTGACGCCAATTTTGCCAAATATGGTTTAAACGACAGCGTATGTGCAGTTACTGAGTCGGCGCGTAACGGGATGCCATGTGGAGCAGCCATGAGTTGCTGCTGCTTAAGTTTCCTGATATTCGACGGAGGAAATCTCGTGCCAAACTGCACAATACCGTTCGCTCAAAGCCTAATTGCTGCTCAAAATACTTCTGGAGAGTTTTTTGATACTGTTAGATTTTACAAAAAGTACGGACAGAGTGTTCAAGAAATGCTTGTGCCTGAGGTTTGTTTTTTTAACGGCGATGTTAAAAAACAATGTGGCACAGATGATTTTACACCAACCGTCACTGATTGGGGTTTGTGTCATACTTTCAACGCGGGTCCGGAGAACATTAAAAAGGCTGAAATTGGAGGCCCTGTAGGCGGTTTGAACATTTTGTTAGACGCACAAATTGATGACTATGCATTTGCAAGATTTTCAGAGGGATTCAGCGTCGTGATCCATCAACAAGGAGAGTTTATTAATCCTTTGGACGGCATCAATGTTTCACCAGGAACAATGGCAACAATAATTTTACATCAGAAAAGGGTGGGTCCAGATAAATTCATGACAACAATAAAGACAACGATAATGATGATGACGACAGGAGTTGCATGAATCTAAGTTATTTTAGAGTGCTGTTCGCCAATAGGAAGAAAGGAAAATACCTTTAAGAGCCAAAATGCCTAAAGCGCGGGAAAATACGGGTGACTATGTTGTGATTGGTTTCAGTTTTGCAACTGATCGGTTTGGAGAATGTTGCGAGCTTTCTGGACCAATTACAGAGCGAAACAAGGCAAAACCGATGTAATCTCAGATTAATTTGGATACTCAATTGAAAATTTCTCTATAAAATCTTAATTGGATGAGGTAAACTGGATGGCTATCCACACGAAATAAGGGAGGCACTGAACCCAAAACAACTCCAATGAGTAGATTGTGAAATCTATTTTTTTGATTGGCTCTTTACTTTTTTCTTTCTTTCCTGGTTCTTTTTCAGATTGTCAACCTTAAGGAGCCGTACGAAACGAAATGCAAAAACAAGAAATTGAAAACGATAAGTAATTATACGATAACGGGATGCCAGTTTGAATGTCTCCAAGAAGCCATCATCGAAAACTGCCAGTGCCGTTTTGCAACATATTCAGGTGAGCAAACTTTCATTAAGATTTTAACTTCCGTTTTTCACCTGCCTTGCTCCTTTCTTTTGTTTGTTTGTTTAAATTTTTGTGCTCTTAGTCTTAAAGCTTTCCCTTGAAACCACCTCTCTATCCTGCAGAAATCGGATCACGCTCTCTTCATACACACTTCAAATTAATCCCCAAATGGAATACACTGCTTATAGACAGAATTACGATGGTTTCCTCAAACTATGGTCTGTACATAACTACATAACTATGTGTCTTGCATTTCAGTGATACGTTGAAACCGTTTCGAGCGAAAGGGGAAGAGTAGGAGGGATTGGGAAAAGAATGGAGACATTTTAAGTATTTTAGCTCAATTTTCATGTCTTTTTTTTTCAGCATCAACCGTCAGACCATGCGCCAAATATGATGCAAATTGTATCCAAGACGTCACAAGTAAGTGGAGTGCGCTTCCTCCTTTTTCGACCTTTGTTTAGAGTCGTGTGTAAGTCTTTTCATTTTATCGTGGGAAATACGAGAATATGTGCGGGCAAGGGAGGATTTTTCACCTCACCATCGATATATGATCCTGGCGTTGAAGTCGTAGAAGTAAGTCTTAACTACAACGGAACACCAACAAATGCTCCATGAGCTGGCTTTCGAGGCATATTGAGCAGAAATGCATATGATGTATGTATTTCTTTTTCACTTTGCCAGGCGAACTTGATGCAACAAAATGTGATTGTCCTAATCCTTGTAAAGAAGTGAGATACACTACAGAGGTGTATTACTCTAAGTTCCCGGATGCTGGAACAGCAAATTTGCTCCAGCCCAATGGAGACGGAAGCACATTGAAGTACTTAAGGTAAGCAACTCGAGTTTATTATTATTTTTATCGCCACCGTTATCCAGACTCTCAGTTTTAGAGCTCCACAACAAAGTAATTTCATGACGACCCAATAAGAACTTAACGATCGCCTGTATTAAACGCGGGAAGGGTGAGTGACTTTCAGGTCACCGGTGGCGTAAGCTTTTCATATTGTTATTGTGACAGAGGCGTGCGCGTTTTCAGAGCTACAACCTTTGATTAAAGGGTAGAATTCTGAACAAACAGGGCCAACTGGTGCGAAAATGTTGTAGCTTTGTGTACTAGATAGGGTGATAAGTTTAAATTAGCAAGTTCCTACCGTGGTCTTTTGCTTTCCACCCCCAGGAGACGCGCGATCCACTACTTTATTGACATATTTGATATAAGTTGTACAGTATTTTTTTTTCTTAGGGGAAACACAGTTTTTCTTCAGATTGGTTACAAATCACTCAGCTATGAATTACATGAGCAGACTGTTGCGTTTGGAATTGAGGCTCTGTTTGGTAAGCGGCCTCACTTGGTTCAATTTTCCTTCTCTTCTTATTAATGCAGGAGCTTGTTCAAAGAAGCTCGTACGACTTGGTTCAATCTATTGAGGCTTCGTGTTCACCTACTAATTTTCGTGATGTTCCATTATATTTGCTCTTTACGACAAACAGTTGTTGATACACTTAGATAGGCTGCATATGAAAAGCTTTACTCGCTTTACATGCCCAGTGACTGCACCCCGAACTCCAGCCTCAAAGATTGGTTTGAAGAATTTAATCAAAGATGAATAAATAAAGTTACTGTATTATAGTTCGTAACAGACCGAAATTAATAACTATCATAATTATCTGTTCATTTTGTCAGATATTCACCCATCTAACCATTTAGTAATGTGTTTGAATTTATCATGTTTATTAATCTATGTTATTGCAAGTCTATTCATAAAGCTTATATCTATTACACTTCAGGTGAAATTGGAGGCAATATGGGTCTCTTCCTCGGAGGAAGTCTCATGACTATTTTTGAATTTGCGGATCTGCTTGTGGCCATATATTATGTTCGTGCATTTCGCAGAGAATACCCAACTTAACCTAGTGACAAATTAAAACTTAAGAACTCTTCATTAAAAGCTAAAAACTACGTGCGTCCGACAGTTTATTCCGGGAATGAAAGGAGGAAATTTTTCGCTCACATGGAGCATAAATGAAGAACATATATGGACGCATCATGAAAGAGAGTGAATGTCCTATGGTATTATTAATAGAACGTATGGTATATATTCAATATCATAATGAAATCAATCTACTCTGTTTTAAGGAAATTGTAGCTTACCCGTTGTCTGTAAACTTCATCCTTGTTCAGTATCTTTAGTTCTGAGTTACGGGTACGCATAAAAAACGAAATTCACTAAAAGACTTACTTAATTCACCGTGCGTGATGCAAATACGGTTTACATTTTTAATGCAAGCGGATAACAATCTAGTCATGGCACACGGGTTTTTCAGCATGATGTTTGAGCTTTTTCAGAAATTCTCTTTGATTTGACCACCATTCAAATTCAGATCAAATTGGATCCAAAGTTAAATCCATTTTCTGGTAACAGGGATCATTTATATAACATTCTCTTTGAACTTACAAGATATCGAATCAATCTCTGTCACACCCTAACTTGTTGATAATGGGGCCATATATCATGAATACTGTCAACATTCATTGTATTTACTAGCGTATATCCTGAGGTGATATCTCTGAAAAATCAGGTTTTCATCATCTAGCGTATTAACAGCACTATCAATTCCTCTTGCCAAACGTGATCTACTAAATTACGAAAAAAAAGAAGCAGGTGTATCTAACAGAAAATTAGTCTCTACGTATGACGTATACTCAAGATGATCAACTTGTTTCTCACGTATAGAGCCAGACAAGTGCTTGAAATCGTCATTGTTACGATTCAGAATAAATGGACTTCATTTCGGAGATTATTTGCTCCAGATGAACAGGCGTTTCTAAATACTCTCCCCTGCTCATTCATATTGAATATACAATTTAAAATGGTTTTTTAAGCGTCTCATAAGATGAAATATCCTCTACTGTTTTCAACAGTTTCATTATTTTTCTACGTTTGTCAAAACTGAAATGATAAAACAACAACTGATAACTTCTAACCGGGATTATCCTGACATTTTTAAGTAAGCTGACGAGGAAAAAGAAGTAAATAATAGTCTTTGCATCAGCTTATAGAAAAGTAATCTCCGCATTACTCAGTATAGTATAGAAAAAAAACTGAAAAGTGAAAAATCAGTAAGCAGTTTTGTGGAAAATAATCGTTAGAACTGCATTTTTTTTTACTTAAACCGGCTTAAAGGATATTACAAAACTTCATCTTCGATCGTTATCCGTATGCCCCTAAAACCTCAGACGATTGCATTAGATTAAATGAAACAAGCATATTAGCAAGAGTTATATGAATGCAACAGGAACGCTCAATATCCCGTTCACTAATCTGGAGATAATTTTTTTTTTGGTTAACAATGCAAGACCTGTACAATACGACAGCTGGTTGACTCAGTTTTCGAAAAAAAAAAAAGGCATGGGTAATCGTTTCTCACAAGTGAAAACAGCAATGTTAGAAATTTCCAAGTAAATGTGGGCGAGTTATAATTGAGTTCGCCGTTCTGGCTTATTTACACGTCAGAGCCCGCCTTATTGACTGTCTAAAACGTCTACTTTGAAGTGTATACACAAAAGGATTCACTGTAGAGTTCAAACAAGTCAAAACCACTGTCCATCTGTACAAAGGCGAACCGTACACAGCGTCAGAAATGTTAAATGCCAGGATGTACAGAACTAGATTCGGCAGCCAACATACTGAATAAATAACTGTCAATGTTATGGCCATTTTAGTGACTTTCTTTGACATAAGAATGGCTCTTCTATTAAACCTTGATGATGTGGATTTCTTCAGCCACAGCTGGTGAACAATTTTCGAGTATACAATAGCCATGAAAATGACCGGCGATGCTCCGACGACACAAAACCAAACTATGCCATATAGTTTTGGAAGCAAAGGGTTTGGCCAATTTTCTATGCAGAAATTAGTTTCGCTATCGTAGGACATGATAAAAAACAACGGCAGATTGAGCAGCGAGGCAGAGGCCCAAGATAATATGACCAAACCTCGCAATTTCGCCATTGTCAACTTCTTGGTAAACAGATGAGGTCTGACGACAACATGGCGGCGTTCAAAGGCGATGACGACAAGTGTGAAAACAGATGCGGCACCTCCGGTCCACATGAGATTTCCACCGGTGATAAAACGGCACAAGAGGTCTCCGGCAGAGCCAAGAGGATGGACAAAAAATGGGCTAAGAACGTATCTTGGAATCGCAAAGACTGCTACCATGATATCTGCCACAGCCAAGTTAAGGAAAAGAAAATCGAGGGTCGAACGACGAAATCGGAACCGCTTTCGCTGAAGAATTATCATACAAACCAGTAAGTTCCCGACGAAATCGACGATAGATAGTAGTGAAAACGCCACCACGAGGGCAAAGTCGTTGGCAGATAGCATTATAAATCTCGAAGCTGAAAAATCTATGACTTGTTTTTCTTTTTTTTTTAAAAAAATTCGTGCAACCAATTCACCGAGTTTAGGCCGGCCGTGGAAAAGTTGTTTTGGCCGGTAGATATGCTGATTAGATTTGTAACAATACCCCGTGTTAATATTTAAGGAAGGTGCACTTCTTTGGGAGGATGATTTCACTAAACAAACTAGTGCTATAAATACCTATATTTAATACCGGAAGCAATTCCATTTGTTTACAAAAAAACTGAAATGTTGGTGTTTTTTTTCTTTTCGCTTTCTTAGACCACGCCACTGTTCTCTGTGGTTAAATTGATCCACTCAGGGATTGTCATGTAAAGTTGCCCTAAGAATTTTATGAAAGCTTCTTTACCAAGTTTGCTTAACTTGTTTATTTTTTAATTCTTTTTTGTGCAAATTACTTAACTGCTCGACAAAATTTCTGACACTCGTCAGAAACCAAATCAAGGGCTTTCGACAAATATCTATGAATAGTAATGACTGGCTACCCGTACAGGATACCCTTTTAAATGAATTGGCAAAAAAACCGTCAATCATGAATGAATACGATAAAATTTGCTTTTTTTGCTTCATTACAGAGTCATCAGCGCTTAAAATTTCATAATCGACTCGTCTTTTCGGCAGAAGTTACGTGTAAACATATCTGCAGCGTTTCTCGTTGAGAGAAATTAAATACGATATGGATTCTGTCCACTGTTACCCATTTCTTTCCGGTATCTAAACAGAGATTCATAATTCTATGTTTTAGAGCGAAATTGAGACCCTTTGAGCTTATCTTCAAATTGGTATTTTAAATTTTTTATTAATGAGACCCATATTTTGCACATTTTCATATCATTTGGGGATATTTTCCAGTGATTATCAGATGGCGATTTCACGCTGACAACGGTAATTGCTCTCTCGGACTTTTTAATGAAAAATAAACACGGCTTTTCGATTCACACACATTACGCCAAATTGGTTGTGTTTATTACCGATGTCGGCGACTACATTCAGTGTCAGAGTCATTTCCACGGCGTAAATTCTTACCACAACATTATGTCTGCTACTTTCCCAAGTCAATTACTTTATCAGTGGCTTTTGCTACCATGTTTTTTACATGGATTAAGTTTCAAAACAATCGAGCCAATGATGGCTCTGTCATTTTGAGAAAATAAATGGCGTTTACAATTTCCTCTCTGCACTTATAAACCCACCTGCTGATTTTAATAAGTGGTTTTCTGACGTTTGATGACTCATTTTTAGTGCAGCTCCTGTATAACTCAGTATGAAACAAAAGAATAACCTTCCTATAAAGACATCGTCTACGGAAATTTGCGAGCGTGCTCTCATTAAGTAATGTTCAGCGCCAAACAATATGGCAAAAAGAGCTTTGTGTACGTTATTAAGTTCCAATTAAGGAAACTTACAAAGCAAGGGCCAAAGGACCAGTAATGGCGTGCCTGCGGTAATCCGTGACGTCAAAAATCAACTAGATAGCCTTTTTTGGCATTTTTCAAACGGTATCGACAGGAGATCTGTAGAAAACACCAAGTAACGTCCTCTCTCTGGAAGAAGATAAACCGTTCGTGTGTTGCGTGACATGACAATGATCTCGTACGTGACCAGAATCATGAAGAATGCTGAAATGAGCGGGGAAGATTCACACCATGCTTTCGAGAGAAACGAAATTTACATGTCAGTTGTGTTATGTAAATAAAGGGATTTTTGGATTTCTATTCCTAGATTGCGTTTCGCGTTTCTCGTGAGTATTTTATGTAGTAAGACTGAAGGAAGTGAAATTAAGTTAACTTTGTTCAAGTCCTCTCTCAGGAACTGGTCAGTGAAGCTGAGCCAACATCTGACACGGATGATGCATGGTATTTTCCCTCAACTATTCGATTTGACGTGCAAAAGTCTTCGATGTTTTGCGTGACAAATGATTCACCTCTGAGTATAAAGGCTTTGCGCAACATGATGGCCTTGTGATGTCACTTTCTGAACGTCACGCTGTTCCTGTCTGGAATTTGAAATGTCGCTTACAGCAATCGTACTTTGAACAGTTGATTCAGCTGATTTCAGCACACATTATGCAAGTATGAGACTCATTGGTGATATTCTATGCTTTTTTCGCCGTCTTCGTCTTTCAAAAAGACTATTCTGTTGGTAAGTCTTCCTGCAGAAGAAGAAAACAACAAGGAGTCATCACTCAGATTCAAGGTAACCCACCTTGGGGAGTAGTTAATTAGCCGCCTTTTTATTGGCGTAATCTGTCGGCAATCCCTCAGATAACACAGCTCCAAGAAATTTTTCTAAGTTTTCTGATTACTCTCGTGGCAGATTACGATTAGAACTGCTCGGTTTATCCGCTTAATTTTATATTGCGTCGCAGTAGTTTCTTACAAGGAATATCAATATTGGCATCCACAATTAAGTTATAACATGATCGCTATTTCAATCAAAGGTTTATAAAGCTATTACTCTGCATATGAAAGTGTTGATGTTCCCTCTTTGAACTACGGTAAGGTGTTGTTTTACGAACTTTCAGACACACGATAGCATTTCAGGTTAGAAATGTTCGTGTGCTGTCGATTGCTCTTGACGCCATTGCTCAATAAACAGTTTAAGATATTGTTAGATGAGAAACGTGTAAGGATTCCACTTTCTCGAAAATTAATTTCACTTTTACAGGCAAAAAGCTCGCCTTGTGTTTCTGAATCGATAACTACATTGAAGCATGGACTCGACTCTATCTGCTGCAGATCTGGGCTTCGCCATTTCTTTCTCTGCGGTTGTCTTAGTAAATCTCCTTGGAAACGGATTGGTCTGCCTTGTTGTCTTCCGATTCCGTGGGATGCGAGCACCGGTCAATTACCTTCTCGTCAACTTAGCTGTTTCAGATATGATGATAGCGCTATTCATCATTCCAGATTACGTGGTAAATTGGGCTTTTCGAAACCCTCATGGTAACACAGGTGACTATCTCTGTATATGGCTAACTGGCGGTAACTTGATTTGGGTTGGAATGGCAGCATCCACTTCTTCATTGGTCGTGTTGTCCTTTGAGCGCTATTTTGCGGTTATCTACCCCCTCGACAAACGCTGGCGCCTTACTAATCAACGATTGGCAGTTTCAATTCTCACTGGCTGGCTCTATGCAATTATTTTCAACTTGCCTTTGTTTTTCGTGGTGAGGCATAGCGATGAAAAAATACATTGCCCTGAACTCTGGTCAAATCACGAAAAATTGTGGGAAGCGTACACACTTGGGTGTCTGTTTGGGTTTGGTTTAATTCCGATGGCAATTATTGGATTTGTTTACTTTAGGATTCTACGTAAGCTCTGGAAAGGACGACGTGTCCGTGCTACTTTAATCTCGGACCAGGTGCGAATCCGAGCTATTCGGAAAGTGACCAAAATGGCCATAGTCGTAACTATAGTGTATGGAGTCTGTCGGTTGCCAAATTTGGTGCTATACGTGTTGCAACCGTTTGAGTCGATTTACGATTATGACTCGCCGTCATACATCAGCACAGTACTGCTTGTGGGCCTCAACTCAGCCATGAATCCATTTATTTACGCCCTTCATAGTGCACACTTCCGCCATCACATCAAGTTGGCTCTTCGTTGCAGTCAATTCCAGCCAGCAGACTATGTTCCAGTCCCACCGTAGAACTGTGAGGAAACCTTCTAAGGTCTTCAGTTCAGTTGGCTAGTGGAAGTCTGTTAACCACAACTCAGTGACTGACTGTCAATAGCCAGTAGCGAATGAACACTGCACAAGTACGGAAAAAATTTCGAGCGTCTTATTTGTGAACCACCATGAAACAAAGATAACTTACTGTTTTTATTCAGTTCTGTATTAATAACTTTTTTCTTTTGTGTCATTTAAAAGATGTTAGATGTTGTATGAAAGAAGTAACAAAAGAGCGCGCAACATGCTTCTAGCCGTAATATAATTAAATTGAAGTTTTATTTTTCCGAAAGTAAACGCTTTTATCCTCACTTGAATCGCACTGAGATTGAACCATTTGACATTTCTTCCATGAGTGACCAAGACAATATCAAGCAGATCCTCGTGTAGGGGGTCATTAGTTCATCCAATACCAAATTCTCTGAACTAACATAAAAATTATATAGCAGACAGTCAGAATTACAAACGAGATCTGGGAGTGAAAGGGTTGAAAAAGGAAACGATGAGACGATTGTGACTCCTGCCGCTTCAATCAGATATATCTATCGTATTAAAAGTTTTCGGGTGTTAAGCATCGCTGAGTATTTTTACGAGTCGTGGATAGAGAAGCGTAGCGCGCGCAGCCGACTGGTTAAACAGGATTTTTCTACAGAACGAAATAACTCACCGTCCAAATAACCCCATAAGCTGATCAATCAGTCCGTTTGAGGGAGAATGTAAGTCAATCTTAATTATTTATATCTTACATGTCAATCATATTCGGGAGTAAAGGTTAAAGAAACTGGAATATGATGCCTAACTTTAGTCACGCTCGTCAGCTTATTGTCACGCTATTACGACAGCATGCCTTATCATGAATATGTATCTTGCTTGAATCATGCTTGAACGGTCATGCTTGTGCAGTCCTGCAGAAATCGAAATTGTACAGTGAACATTTTCTATCCTGATCGAAACAAGGTAAGTGTGCAGTAACTTAGCTAATAAACATGAGTACATCGCTTAGAGGGAACAAAGTCTAATTTCCGGTCGAACAGCACGTTTAGTAAAGGAACTTATCGGCCCAAATCACTGCGCTCATTACAAATTCATACCATGTTGATCCGCTTCTTCTTCGCTGCAAAAACTTCGAGTCGTTCAAATTTCGAAAGAAGATTAAGTGTTGCTCTTGGCGTACAGTTTTGAGACAAAACTAAAGAACTTCGACGTGTCCATCTGCTACATAACACGTAAGACACTTTGCTATCGTAATTCTTGTATAATTTAAATGTTTAAACTTTCAATCCGGTGTTCCGACTTCAAGCACAATAACTGTCAGAATCGCTTGGCTTTTTCCAAGTCTCATAGAAGTATGATTGGACAATTTGTAATATAAACCGGAAACTTAAGGAGAAACATCATGCTATGGATCACAAAACAGCACGACACGACAAAAATATCACAAAAGTAACACTATTTCCGCGTTACTTGATTGCACTCGGTTGTTAAGAATATGACTATTGTTAAATCTCGTCAGCTCAAAGTTCAAGTTTTTGTCTGGCCCTTTCCTCTACAGCTCATAGCATAGGTACTTAGGTACGATTTCGCATACTTCCTCTCGAACGAGTCTTCGCTCAAACCAGGCTGTCATCTCCCAAATTAAAGAGAGCATAGCAGGGAATTCCGAGAACTGGTATTTTTCACCTTCATATGAGAACATCTGGTCGTTTTGCGATGGTGCTGTCTACCTAGTGAATTGTTGTAAGCTCCGGCGACTGAAGTTTCAGTGAAATTCGCCACTTTCGAGACTGGTGTTCGATGATTCAAAAGTAAGTTGTGACATTTCAATTAATTTTTGTGGTGTTATTTAAAGTAACTTGTGATTAACAGCTGCATAAAATATCATTAACACATCGTTATTAGTTGTATAAATAAAAGTTGCCTGTTCGGATACTCGCGTGAATTTCAACCTTATTGAGCCTCACTGTGTGGTGTGGTCAGCAGCACAATTTTCATGTAACTCTGCAGGAAGAGTCTTTCTCTCTTTGTGTTTGGGGCATCCACTCTCTTTTTTTGCTTTGGTATGAGGTATTTTCATATCATGATGAGGGCATGAATTATCTTGTTTTTCGGTGTATTGACACAAGACAACAATCCGAAGAAATTATAGTTCTTTGGCATAATTTTACAATTTTAAAATATATTGCAATCACGTGGTGAAGATGGGTTCAGAATCCTGGACGGCCTTAAAGCAGAGTTCAAGCAACCTATCAATAAAAAGCTGAGACTTCAAAAAGGTCCTCCAAGAAAATGTTGCTTACAAGTATCCTAAATCATAAAATACGCCATTAAGTCATGAGCTTGACGTGTTTTCTAATTCTTACCACTTAAGTCGGCCGAACAGGAAACATTTTGTTTAACGTTTTTTTTGCAAGCAAAGGCAAGCGAGAGACGAACGCGAAGAAAGTGCGAAACAAACGCAAGAAAAGCGCGAGACGAACGCGAGGAAAATGCGAGGCGCACGCGCAGAGTAAGACTTCAGCAAGGGGTAGGGGGAAAATTGACCTGATAGACGCCAAAAATAAGGCCTGTTCTGCAGGTTAATTATTACCTCTACTTTTGCAGTTCTGCAAGGTCACACCATGACTTCTATGACGTCACTGGACATGGGTCTCACCGTTGCTTTCTCTGTGGTGGTTATAGTGAATCTCGTGGGAAACACCGTAGTATGCCTGGTTGTGTTCCGATACCATGGAATGAGAGCACCGGTCAATTACCTTCTTGTGAACCTAGCGGCCTCAGATATCATGGTGGCGCTTTTTATCATTCCAGTTTATGTCATCAAGTGGGCGTTTCACCACCCGTCAGGTACTGCAGGGGATTTCATGTGCAAGTTTATAACTGGAGGGAATTTCATCTGGATTGGTGGGGCTGCATCAGCATTCTCATTGGTAGTTGTTGCTATTGAGCGTTATTTCGCTGTTGTTTACCCCTTTGGCGATCGTTGGCGACTTACAAATCGTCGATTAATCTCGATCATAATCATTGGCTGGCTTTACGCCATAATCTTCAACCTGCCCTTGTTTTTTGTTGTTCGATATGATAAACGCGGTGTAACCCATTGCCCGGAACACTGGGCGAATGAACATCTGGCTAAAGCTTACACCATTGCTTGTTTTTTTGTTTTCGGTGCTATTCCCGTGGGAGCCATGGCAGTTTTATATTTAAAGGTGCTCTGCAATCTCTGGAATAGAGGAAATCCCAATAACTTAGGGGTCACTGAGCAAGCGCGAATCAGATCAAGGCTGAAAGTGACAAAAATGGTTTTCGTGGTGAGTTTAATGTACACAGTATGCTGGTTACCTAACCTGGTGTTATATATGTTGTCTAAGTATGAGCCAGAAGTGTATGCATATGGCTCAGTTCCTTATATCATATCAGTAGTACTCGTTGGCGTCAATTCAGCCATAAATCCCTTCATTTACGCTCTTCATAGTAATAACTTTCGCCAACACATTAGAGGAACCTTTTGTTGCAGAACATTTCGGTCAGAAAATTTCGTTGATTCTAAACTCGCTGCTTCCCTGTAACGCCCCCGTTCCTGGTAATAATTATTGTAACTTCTACGAATCTGTATTAGAAATTACATTACACAATCTGTAATTATACAAATTGTCACCCGAAATCTTTGTAAATAAGTAAAAACTTTGTTCAAACACGGTGTTTCCAAAGGTTAAAAAACCCAATTACACTGACTAATAAAAAGCTAAGTGTAAGTAATTAAATGAAAGAACCTGCTTTACAGGTTGCCATGTATATGTAAGATAGTGCTAGATGATCTCGCTTTAGAGAGTGTGGTTTTTTATTCAATTTTGAAATCATTAGGAGGGTTTGATTGTTTTATCTCTTTCGGCAGGCTATTCCATCACACAGCCCCGCTATAGCTTAAACTTTGTTTACAATTATTAGAGAGAGGTTGTGAAATGGATAGCTTGCATTCAGCATTTTCGACTGAGATTGTACGTCAAGGCTACGCTGCACGGACAAAATCGAGAACTCAGATATAATTTGGAGTTTGGTTGTTTACGATGTTGTACCTCAATTGCTTTACTTACGGCTCGTTGATGATGATGTGTTAACGATATGTTTTAGTGGATAAGGGCTATAGAAGCAATATTTTGACTGTCTCAAAATTACCACTTTCTTGTTTTACCTAAATGGTTGTTCAGGCATTACAAGTGCGTTTGTCACAAGCAGAGGCGTTACTCAGCGCTGTCCTACTTAGCTAATAAAAAATTTAATTATTGCAACACAACGATTATTATTTGTCTCTAATGTTTTATCTCAGTGTAATTTTCTGAGTCAGAATTCGAAAAAAATCCTTTTGATAATTCAAAAAAACCCATTTAAAGCAGGAGTTTATGCTTACTAGAATGGTCAGTCTTCAGAAGAGCACAGAAATTTTTCCAGAAAAAATCATTTTGAATTTGAGTCTTCACCAAGGCAAGGTCAATCTCTGAAGAAGAATTAGGATATTATGAGCATTTTAAAAAACAAATACCCATTCTTGGATGAAGGACAGAAATTCCTTAAGAAGAAACACAAAATGACATTCTTCTCAAACACTAAAGACTGTGAGCTCCTGGTCTAATGACTCCCATCTAGCACTTAAGTCGAAAAAGATAAAGACGATGTTGCTGTCCACAAACCAGATGTCACATGTACGTAGTTTAGATAAGAATCGACCAGCTATTACGGTCTCAGATAGTACATTAGAATATGTAAATGTAAGTAAGCTTCTTAGTGTCCATTTCCACCAGTATCTTGATTGGGATAAGCACGTGCGTGCATGAGCTGTTACGGAATAATACAAACAATAAGAAAACTTAAGAACTTTGCTTAAGTCACTGGTGCTGTCAAAACTTGACTATTGTGACAATGTCTATTAACATTTGCCGGAATTTCAACTAAAACGTTTCCAACGTGTCCAGCCATAAGCTGCTAGTTTTGTCCTGAGTAGGTAGGTAAATGACATTAATGATATTGTTAAGATGGGCGGTTACTAGTAAGACAGCGAAGAGATTTCCACGTTCTCAAACGTGTTCACCAGGCTTCGCACTCAAATATACTTCACGATTATACCAATTGTATGCAAAATTTTCAAGGATGCACAGAAATACTTTATACCATCACATTTCATTCATTTTGCTAATATTTAGCAGATTAAGTTCTCCTGCAATTGTGATCATGGGTAAGGGCTTACTCTTCTTTATTTATTTAGACTTTGACTTCCCAACATTACTGAACTGTTCTCCATGCATCCCCTACGGTGCTGACTTGATTGCACAACAATCAGTAGCTCTTTACGTTCTAAATCATTTTCTTTATTCTCCTAAAATTAATGCTTGATCAGGGTAACATTGTGAGGAGAAATTTTATAGATGCTTGTAACTCTTAGGGTTTAAAGAGTTAAATCTTAGTAAAGTTGTGATCTTGAAAGGTAATTTCGCTCTTATCTCGGTTACTGCTGCACCCCTCTGTTCTAAATGGCTATTATGCACTTATGCTGTTTTGATTGTCTATTCCTGACTCTAGTATTAAGTTCGTGGACGCTGAAGTGGCACTTCGGAGTCGAATGTAGCATTTGATGAATAAAATTCGGATATCGGGAGTTCACAGGAGACTTACAAGTCGAAAGTCGTAAATTAGAAGTGCGATACCGGAGGTTATAAATTTATACGTCAATGATCGGAAGTAAATTATCCGTCAATGATCGGAAGTAAAACTCCGAACTGCGAATTCGAATGTCTGAAATCCGAAGTCTGAAGTCGGAAATTAGAAGTCCGAAGCCGAAAATCGGAAAATTGAAAGTCGATTGTCGGAAATAATACTCCGTACTCAGAAATCGAATGTCTGAGATCCAAAGCCTGAAATCAGTAGTCGGAATTACTGTTATAGAAGTGATTTGTTGTTGTTACAGAATCATTATGTCTTGAAACCCAAAATAAAGTCAGCAAGAGTCCATTTAGATAACATAGGCACAGATGTAAAATATTTCAGGGATGGGTTGAGGTTGAGGTTGAGTCTTGTGTATTTTTTTGTTTATAATTGATTTACTTTGGCTGTTTCATCTTTATTCCTTTATTCGTAAGTTTTAGGTTGATCTATTTATCCTTTATTTTCTTGGCAAACTAATATATTCCATTACTTATCATTATCCTTTTTGACGATCATATAATACGTATCAAGACTCTGAAACTTTAAAAACTGCTACCTCCTTGATGATCAGATTATACATAAACATTGCAACGATTACACCGCTTCCTTGTTGATAACAACTTGATGCATAAACACCGCAACTTGAAAAGTTGCGGTGTTTATGTTTCCTAGTTGAAAAACACGATGCATAGAAAGCGCGACTTTTAAACTCCTTGCTCGTTGGCAAACGCATGATGCATAGACACCCCAACTTTTTAACTGCTTCCTTGTTGACAAACACATGATGCATAGGCACCACAACTTTTAAACTGCTTCCTTGTTGAAAAACACATGATGCATAGGCACCACAAATTTTAAACCACTTCTTCGTTGATAACAACGTGCTGCAAAGCATGATGCAAAGAGACCACAAATTTTCAATTCCTTCCTTGTTGACAAACCACAATTTTTAAACTGCTTCTTTGTTGATAAACACATGATGCATAGAGACCACAACTTTTAAATTCCTTCCTAGTTGACAAACGCATGATGCAGACACCACAATTTTTAAACTGCTTCCTTCTTGATAAACACATGATGCATAGACACCAAAACTTTTAAATTCCTTCCTAGTTGACAAACGCTTGATGCAGACACCACAATTTTTAAAACTGCTTCCTTGTTTATAAACACTTGATGCATAGACACCACGACTTTTTAACTCTTTTCTTGTTGAGAAGAACATGATGCATAGAAACCGCCACTTTCAAATTCCATCCTAGTTGACAAAAACATGATGCATAGACACCACAACTTTTAAACTCCTTTCTTTTTGATAAAAACATGATGCATAGAAACCGTAACTTTTGAACTCCTTCTTAGGTGACAAACGCATGATGCATAGACACCACAACTTTTAAACTGCTTCCTTGTTGACAAACACATGATGCATAGACACCACAACTTTCAAACTCCTTTCTTGTTGATAAAAACATGATGCATAGAAACTGCAACTTTTAAACTCCTTCTTAGTTGAGAAATGCATGATGCATAGACACCATAACTTTTAAACTACCTCTCTGTTGATAGCAACATTATGCATAGAAACCACAACTTTTAAATTACATCCTTGTTGGCAAATACATGATGCATAGAAACCACAACTCTTAAATTGCTTCTTTGTTGTCGTGGGTATGATGTATTGATATCACAACTTTTGAATTGCTTCCTTGTTGGCAAGCACATGATGCATAGACACTGCAACTTTTAAACTGCTTCCTTGTTGACAAACGCATGATGCGTAAAAACCACAATTATTGAACTGCTTCCTAGTTGTCAAAGAAGTAAAAGGTGGGTTCAATCCAAACCCTGCAAAGAAAAGCACCTGGAAAGAAATAGAGAAGAAGAATGTCGTATCACGGAGGCAAAGACACATGAGACACAGACTGTCAGTTTGAACAAAGTTTCACCTGATTAGCAGAAGCAATGTAGATTAATTTGATTCAAAGATTTTATTTTATCACACATTCAGTTAACAATGTTTTTCACTCTTATCCGTGCATGTCAATGAGTGTGTTTCATGAGTTCGAGCCTTTGTAGGCTGTGAGTTTCGAATTCTAACTTTAATAGGATAAGAGCAAGTAGGTCTGTACTAACAGTTTTCGAACACAGTGCTTTATTTCGTCGACTGAAACCTTTAATTGATCATGTGGACACAATTTTGTTCTGCGGCGGAAAAGGAGCTCGTAGCAAAAATGTCTAACCTTTTTTTTAAAAGACATTATAGTTTTTGTTATTACTGTTTTTGTTTCTTTTCTTTCAACTTGAGAAAATAAGTGGTTGGTGATTTTTCTTATCCCGTTACTCTAGCATAACATCTACGTTACCCTTTGCTTTCTGTCATTCAATTTGTCCTCCTTGGGTAAGTTGCATTGTGCTTTTCAAACTGAAAAGAAGAGTATTTAAGATAAATGACTTGTGCCACAGTTGCAGTAATCAACTTATGCAAAGGATGGTATTTAGCTACAGCCAACATCTTCACTATAACTACAGAAATAAACGTATTTTATAACTTATACAGCTTGTACATACTTCATCAACAATCGGTGTATCTCATTCTTACCTGAACAGCTAAGCAGCACTCTTTGCATGCACACCTTTTCTGATTAGTCCCCTTCATTGCTTCCTGCCTTGAATACCAACTTGATTTGGGCAAACATTTCATGCCACCAAGAAACAAACACAATACAATGCTAAGTATGAGATAAGAAAAATAATTGCACGAGATTTGTATACTTTAGCTAGTGGAGTATCTGACAGCAAAATTGGTAAATCTGAGGTTTGAATCCTCATGAAAGTCAACTAGAACTTTCATTTCACACGTTTACGTGACTGTAATTTCCTAAAGAGTTCGACACACATTTTTGTCTCTCAACTCAGTTGATAGAGCATTTGATATCGATATTGCAAAGTCTGACGTTTGAATCCTCTCAGTGAGTTTATCTTTAAATTTGTGTTTCTACTCTGCCATAAAAGCAGTTTGTAGCCACTTGGAATGAAGTTTGAATCCTCACAAATGGTCCACCCAAATTTCTTTTTCTGCCCGGCTGGTAGGGCAGATGGTGAAGTTTTATTGTCTAAGGCTTAAAGCCTTATAGTCATTGATAGCAAAATCGGTAGATCTGAGGTTTGAATCCTCATGAAAGTCAACCAGAACTTTTATTTCACACGTTTAACATGACTGTAATTTCCTAAAGGGTTCTCCTATGTCGCACATGATGGTCTGCGGTTTTGTTACTATTATGCGCACGCACGCCATGTGCGCCTGTCGTTGAATGTGAACCGCCATGTTTGATTAAACTTTGTTGTGTTATACTAGTTTGATTCCTTCAATTCCGCGAGACATAACAGATTGGCGATGAGGATTTAGATCCTACGCAGCAACCAGAGAAACTTCGACCTACCTATACCTATACCTACCTACCTACCTACCTACCTACCTACCTACCTACCTACCTACCTACCTGCCTACCATACCTAAACCTATACAGATTGGAAAGATTGAAGCGTTTGACGAAACGAACGACGATTGGAACGCCTATGTGGAACGTCT